ATCAAGCGACCGCAGTTCTGCATTAGTTGGCAACTTGGCTAATGTAGATTTTAATGCTACAAGAAGACGAACTCGACGAAATGTTTCCGATTCGCACGATTGTCATGCGAATCACGACAATTTCTGTTATGGTGTTTTTTGAGGTTATGGCGGAACTCCGACCCGATGGGGTTTAATGGACCTCGGATTCGGATTCAGCGACCCCAAAAACATAATAAACATGGTCTGATCCCCAGGCCAAAGAAATTTTTTTTTTTGTGTGGCTGTGTAATTAATTAACAATTACTAAGTAAATTATTTTGTAATAGCAAATAAGTAATATAGAAATTTTAAGATTTGTGTTGTCATAAAAACGTATACACATTAACATAGATAATAAAAACTTTTATTGCATTGAAATAACAATGAGATGTGTAGAAACACTCTTGAACTGTTCAGTCTCATTTAAATATATAGTTGTTATTTTAGAAACAAATTTTTTGTTTTGATTCGTCGGTTTTTATCTTTATACACGCCATTACATCATTAACGTCGTCTTTAGATCCTAAGAAAATAGGCGATCTCTGATGGATGCTTTCCGGAACGATGTCCAAAATATCAATTTCGCCGTTTGTTGCCAGACCGCCGGCTTCTTTGATTACGAAAGCCATCGGTATGCATTCATACAAAAGTCGGAGCTGAAACGAAATTGTGAAATTACGTTACAGTATATAGTTGCATACTAATTATCGCTGTTGGTTGAATATTTGTAATATTTATAATTACGTTACGGTACATAATTGCATAATAATTATCGGTTGAATATTTATAATAAGTGCAAATATATATATAGATAACACATTTGAAATGTATCATAATGTACATGTGTGAAAAATTCCAAAGTTGAGTCTGTCAAATAATCTGGGAGTGACGTCATTAGTATTTTGACAAAGAGTTCCAATAACATAAGTTATCAAAGTCAATAAAGCACAAAGTTCAATATTTTTTTACATTTTTATGTGAAAAACAGCAGTCTATATACCAATAATCTACACATGAAGAAATGATAAAATAACCATCTACAAAACAAAGCTGAGTTGCACTGAGTTGTTGAATTACTTAATCTAGCTGTGATGATAACTAAGTTCGAGATAAAGTGAACTCAAAGGGCTTTTATAATAATAAAAATATAAATATACACAATAAAAAAAAAAAGAAAAAATACGGATAACATATGCGATAAAGAAGTTATATTCCCAATAGGCAAATTGTGAAAATATTGCACAAAAATAGCATCATGAATAACGACGATTTTGCAATGATTGCACTAAGATGATTCGTCATAACGCAACAGTGTTGTCAAAATAAAATTTTGTAAATAATATTTATCAAAAATTAGAAAAGAGTCGTTATGCATTTCCATAAGTATATACATGAAGTAATTTAATTTCTTCATATGCAATTATATTTCTACATGTTTTAAACATCACATAGTTGAAATTTTTTTTCAATTATTGAACAATTTCTTTTTAAATTTAATTTTGCAAACATACTGCTACATAAGATGATTCGCCATATCGTTATTAGTTTGCCAAAATAGTATTTGAAAATTAATTTTACAAACAGTTACAAATATTTTATAGAAGATCAATATTTTTACATCTATTTTTTTAAATATATCTACATAATTGCAAATCACAATTTTCATGCAAAATTTTGTCACATAATTTCATAAATGTTTTCTTATCGGGGATTATTTTATATTGTACTTTATTGCATGAAAACTGTCATTTATATATCACTTTTGGTGTTTATCTTATCTTTTGTTTTTTATCTTTATTATTGCAAAAAGAGACAAAAAATTGAGAAATTGCAAAATTACTTTGCCGTTCGGATTACTGTTGGTCGCAGGATACAAGAAGATACCACCGTATTTAATTGTTCGATGCACGTCAGCGACCATGGAACCTACATATCTGGCACTATACGGTTTACCAATAGTAGGATATTTCTTTGTGTGTATATATTCCTTGATAGCCGGATCCCATGTGCTTTCGTTACCTTCATTTATACTGTAAACAAGAAAGATGTGATTTTTTTTCACTACTCTATTTTATATGATCAATCACTTATATGTTAAATCAAATGAATAAAAGTTTAAAACTAACGGTAAACCGGTCAATAAGAACCAACGCTGGATGTTTGTGAGAGATAAATATATGTATATATATATAAGGTATTTCACTTTTGACGGTCTAAAATATCTTTTGAACAATGCATTTTCGAGAAACATGTTTCAGACAAAAATATTGTTGTATTTGGGGGAGGGACATTTTGTCTGAAACATGTTTCTCGAAAATGCACTGTTTAAAAGATATTTTAGACCAATTAAAATAAAACACCCTGTATATTTATATTTTTCAGTGTAAATTATACACATGAATTTTTTTGAATTGAAATTTCAATTCGTAAATTTATGTAGGATGCTGGATTTCTATTACATATATGAGGAATGCTCGTTTTTCTCCTCCTAATTTAATTATATTGCGAAAAAACACCTCGGTTAGGAGCCGAACCTGGAATCTCCCGCTTTCTGTGCGATCGCTTTCCCAATTCAGCCATCGAGGCACTTGAGGTGTTTCTCTCGCAGTATTATTCGGATATCAATCTATGAGAATAACGCCATCTTCCACAATACAAGTTTTATTACAAGAAAGTGTTTTTTTTTTATTACTAATATTAATAATATTGTGTACCTATATATATTCCCTCGTTCAGGTATACGCATATTTCTTTCAGTTAATATAAATTCGCCGATGGCCGGATCGTATGTGAATCCATTAACGCCACGACCGATCGAGAGTACTATCATGGTCGCCGAGCCGTAGAGAGCGTATCCAGCTGCAATCAAGTTTTGTCCCGGTTGTAACACAGCCTGCGTTGCAGTTTTCCCAGATTGTTCCGATTTTTTATAAATTCCGAAGATTGAGCCCACCGAAACGAGGCAGTCGATGTTGGATGAGCCGTCAAGTGGATCAAAGCATACGATGTATTTACCACTCTTTTCTGTCTCCACCTCGATCGCGTGCTGATTTTCCTCGCTTACAAGCACATACGTAGTGAAGGAGGACGTCAGCATGTTAATGAAGAGCTCGTTGCTCAGGACGTCCAGCTTTTTGACTTCTTCGCCTTGGACATTAATATTACCCGCGATGCCATACCTTAGTACAACGAAATATTTCTAAAGAAATGTTAGTGTAGCAGATTAAATGTAGCTCGAACTTGAGTTTATTAATAATCACAATGTGGCATAGATACACATAATTATTTTATATAAAAATTTTACTCGAAAACAATAATAAAATTTAATAGTATTTATCTGATTTTACTTACAAGCGATAGAATCAAGTCGAATAGAAAAAAAAAGTTTGTTTTGTGACATATGATAAAACAAATTCATAAGTGTGAGATTGGTTCATATCAACGCAATAAACGCTAGACACACGTAACAATAAAAATTATTTATTTATAAGTTAGTACGACAAATATACGCTTACCGAAATACATTAGAATAATAGAGATATACGTCACGCCACCAATTAAGTAAACATTGTCACAGTTGGAACGCTTCCAAAATACACATATATTATACAAGAAAAAACATATTAACCGCAATGTTTCTACAGCACGCTCAATTTAGACCGTCATCTCGATGTCTACTCACATGTTAGCAATACCAGCTTTTCTCACAGCTGAGCTAACGGCCTTTACAGCTGTCTGTATGCTGTTGAGTAGCTGGGTCAGATCGCCTGTCGCTGCCGGTACTTTGCGCTGCTCTGCTAATACAAATCTTGTCAGCGTCATACAATCCGAGTCCATTATTGAGGTTTTCGATGCCATCGCAGCTGTAGTTTTCGTAAGACAACGCAACAAATCAGACGAGTGAGGAACGAGATGCGCCGTGCGGGAAGTGGAGAACTGAATAGCTGACGAAGCGAAATGTTATATAAGTTCAAAGACCGGGGCAAAGACTAGCTAGCGTCTTATCGCGAGAGTGAAAGTAGCAGTAGTAGTGTGTATATCGAATTACCGAACTCGCAGGTTTCTACGTGTTGATAGTACTGGTCACATTTGATCAATGAGAGCATGCACTTCTCTAGCCAAAACTAGTTTTATCCAAAATCATCAGAGTAAAGAAATTTCTTTTTACCAATTTCCGATATACTTGTTTTGGTAATATTGAGAAGGCGATGTAATTCCTGTTTCACTGAGCGGTAAAAAAGATAATTGATAAATTAGCTATGTCGATCGGTCAATTTTTTTGTAAATTTTAAAAAGAGCATACACAATAAAACATGCCTTTATAAAGCACATATTTATATAACATAAAAATACAGATATTTCAAGTAAATATTGCTTAGAAACTATCGACAATGTGGCATAATACAAACGATATCAATAAATTTACTTGTACTCTATGTAAGTTTTTTTTATTCGATATTAATGTGACAGAAAAATAATTCGATTTTTCTCCTAGTAAAATATAAAAATATTTCTGTTTGTAACAAAGCGATATTATTTATTATTTTTTTGAATTTAATAAAAACTTACCACTAGACATAATGATTGCATCTATGCTTTCTGTAGCAAACGTGCTGAAGAACATAACGGCAGACGGACGTCAAGTGAATGTATGTACTACTGCTAAGGATAGTTCGCGCTTATGAATGCTTCTTGTTGAGTCCGTCGATTTGCGCTGGCGCACTACTGACCGAGTCGATCAATACTACACTCTTTTGCGAATGCGTGCTGAAAGGATTTAAACTAAGAGTTAGCCAAGCTGGTTATGCATGATTTGTGTAAAATAAATAACAGTAACATTAATAAAACTTGTCGTTTATCCAATATGATTACACAACTGGAAAACACAAATAATTGTTTGACATCGACTGTGTTTCTAACACAATATCACGGTACTGCTCTAGTTATGTTGCAATGTGCAAATGCATTACGCAATTACTATAAGATAAAAAGAGTGATTGTAAAAAATATATACATATAATAGTCTTTTCTTCTCTTGTCATTACACAGTGTAAACACTAAACGAAGTTTACTTCATTAAAAAAATCGTGTTGTAATATTGATCTTATAAACTATTAATCTTAAATTATTCATTTTTGTACAACACACAAATAACTCACAAGTATATATTATAAATAAATTAATTGCAAGAATAAAAAAATATTTCGTATTATCGTCAAAAATATTATTGTATTAACGTTTAGCTTTCTTACTGTAATGACAAACTTCTAGAGATTTTACAAATTTATTAATAATTTCTTCTATATAATCTGAAATGACCTATAAAGGCGACGTGAGATTCATTACATTTCTGCGCTCTGTTTATATACTTATGATTTTTGTGTTAATTAATAATATCAAGTATTATACCGCATATATTATGTTGTAACGATAATAAATTATTAAAATAAAAAGAATTAAGAAAGTGGCAATAACAAGCTAACACCAGATGTTCGGATACAATTCTTTTATAGTTCTAAGATTTTAAAAAAGTTTTAACAAACATTTCGATCCACTATGGGATCTTCTTCAGTGTTTTAATAAAAACTTACAAAAATAATGATCCATTCAAGATCATGAAGATTATGGATAAGAAAAGATACGCTACATGAATATTCGGTATGAGAAAAACAGAGGCGGAAATGGCAGTCACGTAGTCATCAATATTACGCAACAGGACGCAAATCGTCCTCCCGCTTCGAATGTAACTGACAGACTGAGCGGCACAGTTGCAAACTCGAGCCGGCTAGCACCGAGAGCACCGAGGTGTTGGGAGCCACTGGGAACACGCACACAAGCGAGAACCGCCGTCCGTGTGCGTGGAACACACACACGGACGGCGGTTCTCGCTTGTGTGCGTGTTCCCAGTGGCTCCCAACACCTCGGTGCTCTCGGTGCTAGCCGGCTCGAGTTTGCAACTATGCTGAGCGGTCCCCTTCACACTCAAGATACATGTAACGGTATCATCCCCACCACATCGCTTCAACCGAACGAAGATCAAGACGCCCTATAATTTTCTTAAAATGACAAATATGCTTTCAGCTTGTCCGTGTCCGACATGACGTTAATTGAATTGCTTTGTAATTTGATGTGTATCATCTCAGAAACGGATCTCTTGAAAAAGAAAGATTCTGTGTCCAAGACTTTGACATTTTGCCAATTGAAATTGTGGTCAGTGTCAATTCTATGCTGTGTGACTACGGAAACATTCTTCACGCGACGATTAATTTGATTTTTGTGTTCGGAAACCCTAGTCTTGAGTTGTCTCATAGTCTGGCCTACGTACGAAGCATCGCAATCATTACATTGCAACTTATAAACTACGTTTTTTCGTTAAATATCTACAGGATCTTTGATATTTTTGATAAATCGATTCAATTTATTGAGACTTCTATAAGCTAACATATTTCCATCTCTCGTTTTCAACGATTTTGAAATTGTGTGCGATATTT